TTGGAGGTTTGGTACCTGGAATGTAGGCACGTTGACAGGAAGAAGTTTGGAAGTGGTGGAGGAGCTGCAGAGGAGAATGGTTGACGTGGCTGCATTACAGGAGATCAGATGGAAGGGTGAGGGTACAGGGTTTGTGGGGGCTAAAGGTGGAAGATATAAGTTGTGGTGGAAGGGGAATGATGGTACGGGAGGAGTTGGTGTGATGGTAAGAGAAGAGTTGGTGGAGAAGGTGTTGGAAGTGAGGCGGAGAAGCAATGGTGTAATTGTGGTGATGATGGTGTTTGGAAAAGTAATAGTGAGGGTGATATCAGGATATGCTACGCAACAAAGTAGGAAGAAAGAGGAGAAGGATAGGTTTTATGATGATGTTTCTGACGAGATTGGGCAAGCGGGGTTGGATGAGTTTGTGGTGTTGTTGGGTGATTTGAATGGTCATGGGGGAGCGGATGCAGACGGATATGAAGGTGTACATGGGGATGTGGATATGGTATACGGAATGAGAAAGGGAGTAGAGTGTTGGAGTTAGCGGATGCACATAGCATGGTGGTGGGGAATACCTGGTTTACAAGGGAACCAGCGCGATTGATTACATATAGGTCAGGGGAGCATAGGTCGATGATAGACTATATATTGGTAAAGGCCAAACATAGGAAGTATGTGAAGAATGTGAAGGCGATACCTGGTATGCTGCAGCATAGTATGGTTGTGATAGATGTGACATCAAAAGAAATGGGGAGGAGGAAGAAGGATAAGTTTGTGGCAAAGAGAAAGACCTGGAAGTTGCAGGATGCAGAGGTGAGGAAGGCATTTGAAGTAAAGGTGGCAGAAAATTGGGAGAGTGGTAAAGATGGAGATGTTTGTGAGAGATACAGGGACTGTGTGTTGGCTACGGCAGATAAAGTATGTGGATGGACGGAAGGAAAGTGTAGGCATGGTGAGACGTGGTGGTGGGATGAAGATATAAGAAGGGTTTCGGAGGTCAAGAAGGAGAGGTTTAGGGTATGGAGAAGGGACATGACGGAGGAAGCGGAGTTTGAGTATAGGAAGGTTAAGAAGGCTGCAAAACAGGCAGTGGCAACTGCAATGACGAAAGCATCAGATAGGTTAATGAAGGAAATGGAATTTGATGTGAGTTCGAGGAAAATGTTCAAAGTAGCAAAGCAGTCAATGAGGGATAGGAAAGATGTTATAGGGAATGGATGTGTTTGGGATGGATCTGGCAAGTTGTGCATAGATGAGGAGGAAAAAGCTCAGGTGTGGAAAGCTCATATGGAAAGGTTTATGAATGAAGAGAATGAGTGGGATGGAAATGTGGAATCCGCGGTCACACACGGACCTATAGAGAAGGTGACGATGGAGAAAGTAGAGAAAGCAGTCAGAGAAATGAAACTAGGTAAGGCGATAGGGGTTTCGGAAGTGGCGGCAGAACATATAAAAACGATGGGGTGATAGGAATTGAAGTTATGATGAGAATTTCTAACAGTATGTTTGATGATGAAGGTATACCTGAGGATTGGCGACACAGTGTGTTGGTGCCGTTGTATAAGGACAAAGGAGATGTGAGAGATTGTGGGTCATATAGGGGTGTGAAATTGCTAGAGCACGGAATGAAGGTAGTGGAGAGGGTGCTTGAGAGGAGGTTGAGAAATATGGTGACAGTTAATGAAATGCAGTGTGGGTTTATGCCTGGTAGGGGAACGGTGGATGCGTTGTTCATGGTGAGAATGTTGCAGGAGAATTATAGAAAGAAGAAACGAAGATTGTACATGTGTTTTGTGGATCTAGAAAATGCTTTTGATCGAGTACCGAGGAAGGTCATTGAATGTTCGTTGAGGAAGAAAGGAGTGAATGAGAGACTTGTTAAAGCTGTGATGCAGCTGTATGAAGAGGCAAAGACAAAGGTGAGGGTTGGAAGGGGGATGTCGGACGCTTTTAGTGTTAAGGTAGGAGTGCATCAAGGATCAGTGTTATCACCGTTTCTGTTTGCAATTGTGATGGATGTTGTGTGTGGAAACATAATGGAGGGGTTGTTATTTGAGATTTTGTATGCAGATGATTTAGTCTTGATGGCTGATAGCATGGAAGAATTGCAGTTAAAATTTGACAGATGGAAAAGTGTTATTGAAAAGAAAGGGTTAAAAGTTAGTATTGGTAAGACGAAGGTAATGGTGATTGGGGAAGGTGGGGAGCGAGTGATAAGTAAAATAGACCCCTGTGGGGTATGTGACAGGAGAGTGAAGGCTAACTCGGTATTGTGTATAGGATGTCAGAAATGGGTGCATAAGAGATGTAGTGGTTTGAGGGGGGCACTGAAAAAGGTGGAAGGCACGTTCAAATATAAGAAATGTGTTCATGGTGTGATTAATAGGACGGACGCAAGGACGGGGTTGAGTGGTGGTATTGAAAGAGTGGAAAGCTTTGTTTACTTAGGGGATAAGCTGAACGCGGGTGGAGGATGTTTGAGCGCAATTACGGCTAGAGTTCGTGTAGGATGGATGAAATTTAGGGAACTGGGTGGGGTATTGTGTGGAAAGAAATGGTCAGTGAAGATGAAAGGGAGGGTATATAAAGCATGTGTGAGAGCAGCGTTGGTATATGGTGGTGAAACTTGGGTGTTGAGGAGAGAGGAGGAAAGTGTACTGCAGAGGGCTGAAAGAGCTGTGGTGAGGATGATGTGTGGGGTTAAAGTGAAGGATAGGAGGAGTAGTACAAAGCTGATGTCAATGATGGGACTGAATGAGGACATTGTGACATTGATAAGGAGATCGAGATTGCGATGGTATGGACATGTGTTGAGAAGGGATGAAAGGGTCGGGATTAGGCGAGCGTTGGAGTTCGAGGTTGAAGGAGTGGTAGGAAGGGGTCGTCCGCGATTGGGATGGAGAGAGCAGGTGGAGGACAGGGTGAAAGCGGGGTTGCGTGATACTGAGGCGAGTGACAGATATGAATGGCGTCAAGGGGTATTTCGGTTTCATCATAGGTAGCCAAACGGCAACCCCCGATCTCGGGGAAAATGTCGTCTAAACGTGTGTTGTTGTTGTTGTAAGTTAAAATGTCTTAATGTTATTATGTATTTGATGTTATTATTTTTTTTATTAATTCATAATAGTGGTTTGCATTTCCATTTCAAATAAATCTTCGTTGACTCATTGTAGGAGTATGTTGCTTTCAATCACAATTTTCTATTAAAAACAATAATTATTAATTTTAAATAATCTTTCTGATTCTTGGCAGATCTTAAAGTCATTAAAATTTATTGCTTTTACCGAAAAATAAATAAATGTATCATTTTACTTTTAATACTCCTTTTGAGGGATATGTCAATTGTCCGTTGTCTTTTAGTATGATGAGATGATTTGATGATTCGCTAAATATGTTTCTGCTGGCTGAAATCAAGCATTTTCTGCATATTTGTTGGGATTTGTAACAGCTTATTAATGCAAAATTTTAAATGAATTTTGGAGAGATTTACATTAGAAGAAAAAAGAACCTGCATTCTGAGCATGAGTTGGTCGGTGTTGTTGACTTCACCACTCATCCTGCCATGTATGCAGTTCAATTGCTGACAATATACTGTAGTGACGCATGCTCCACAAATACGTTGTCATCAAAATCTGCCCCAAAAATAATGTTACTAAGCAGTTCTTCTGTTTCAAATGATGATACATTTCCTGTGTTACCTGTGAATTGCAGAGTAGCTTTAAATCTAATTAGTTTATAATTTTCGTGTCAAAATTACTTGGTATAACTATTGAAAATTTGCAACAAATCTTTTTGTAAATGTCGCTGAATTGTTGGCAATTTATGCGACTGCAGCATCCACCTGCACACAATTAGTTTTTTTATGTTATTTCATTATTATGACTTAAGTCAGAAAAGCTTAATACCTTATCTTTTTACATAGTTGAAACAAAGTTCCAGTGCATCCTGACTGAAACGGTAAATCGGGACAAAAGGTTGTTCATTCAACAATTTTTTTGAAATATCAATTATTGAATTTATGGTTGTACAAAAGCCCATTATGCACATTTTTCTTAAATTATTTGTAATTAGTTTTAGTTTAGATATTGAAATATATATAAAAAAAGAACCTTTGAGTTTTGTAAATGTTAACACCATCTAAATTTTTCAAACTTAGTAAGTAGGCTTTCATTTCATAAAGTTTTTCTATAATGGCTGTCAAGTTGCTCTTTGTAATGGATTGCTTCCATTCTCGATCTAGCATCAGTTTGTGTTCCGTATATCGAAAAGATTGTTGATGTTTTTCTCAAAAGCTATTGTTTCAGAAACGTCAGAAAAATCATCAAATCCATTTAATTAAAAGTTTCAATGATTTAGCCACAGAGCAACTAAAGACTTGAGATGCATATTTAACTTTCATCTTATGCTTTTCAAAATTTACATGATTTTTGGTTAATTTATTTCCTAATTTCATTTTGATTTGTTGTTGATAATTAACTAAGTTTACGATATGATTCCATTTGATTGGATTATTATAAAATATTATATTATAAGAATGAAACATATTCCTCATTAATTTCAGCATGTGGCATGCATCAAATATGATATATATTTTATGGCCGGTTGTTGGGGACAAGAAACTTGTTTGCATGTTTGGAAGTGTGAAAAAACATCCAAAAATTTTAACATATTGTTATAACCGTGCTACCGAACGCACTAGATTCTAGCGTATTTTAGAATGTTCTAGTGACTGGAGCATTCTAGAGTATGCTAGAATCGGATCATCTAGAAGAATCTAGAAACGACGCTTGCGAAGAGTATAAAAGCGCACGTCGCAAGAGGATTAGTGAAATTCGAAATTAGTGAAATCCGTGATTAACGAAATTCGTGATTAGTGAAATTCGTGACTCTGTGATTTCGTGAATAGCGATTCGGTGAATTATTTAAAGCGATATTTGATTTGTTTGTTGACGTTGTCATAGCAATAGATTTTAAACAATTTAATTGTTGCGTTAATTTGAATTTGTAGAAATAAACGATTAGTTGATTTCTTCTGTAAATAAAGTTTAGAGTATTTTATTCAATCGAAGATTTGAACCCGTTGCATCGTAAATCGGTTACGACAGCGAGTATTATAACAATATTTTTAAGAAAAACAAATGTTGTTTACCCTAACTCCAGCGTTATGTAACTTATTAATGGCTTTCTCTATTAAATCTTTCAACTTGTGAGATGATAATTTATTTGTATAAAAAGTAAGCTATTGAATGTCTCCAAGCTTCTCTCAGACTAACAACATAAAACAACGCCTCTGAAGCAACTATGTCCTCATTCCCATCTCCATAGTTAATAAAGACTAATAAAAAAAAATGGTATACCACATTACTGTTTTGATTAATAATAATAAAATAAAGAAAAAGATTTATGTGGCTGGTTATCTAGTTCTAATTAACCCATTATTTGTTGTTGATAAAACAAGAAAATTTCGATGCCAGTACAAAGTCGATTTTTTAAAATACACGAACGAGAACGAGCATACCGACATTGAAATTTTTTAGTATTTTT